ATATACACTACAAAATTATATTTATAAAGAAATTTATATTGTCCGTATGATTAATAGAACTCATATTTATAGTTTAGTAGCGCATTATAGTAGCGCATTTATAATCAATTATCGAATATAACAAAACAATTTTATCATTGATATTCTCTGCACGTGTCGCGATATGATGCGGCAATATGATATTATAAAGTATCATGTAGCAGATGTTATTGATATTATGACAATAAAGTCTAACCGCAAGTAACATCTGTTCACAGAAATTTAGATAGTTTCGTGGACGTTCGGTTTACAGTGAATTGTAGAATTGATTGGAAACTAACTAATGAGTCACATCATGCGAATCAAAGAGGATCTAGCTACAGAATATCGGCAGGTACCCAGGAATAACATTTAATTGGATAGTGAGCAACGTTCAATAGTTTCTCTATCAGTATTACCGTATTGTTTCTTGTAGTTCAGCAACTACAGATTGATATGTCGATGTTCAATGGGATCATAATTACAGTACAATACAGAATAGCTTTCGATTTACAAAGAATATTATAATTAAATAAAACATGCGCAAAGATAAACAAATCTTTCTTCATACAAGCTTCAAAGCATATTTTGATACAAATTTTATGTGTGTGTTCTCTCTATTTATACTATTATTTATACGAACATTAGTACAAATATTTTTTATGTCTTCCATTAATTTATTAACTTTTGAATAAAGAAAAATTAACTTTTCTATACTTTCTTTCTAAAAGTTTATCATGAAAATGATTAAAATCCCCAACTGTCATGTTTATTATATAACATGTGTCAGAATTGCGGGAACTGCAAGTTAGATTGAGAAGCTAGAGTAGTTCTTTGAGAAAAGCCCTTGGGGCCTTTAAGGAACTGAGACCACAGGCAATTAGAATTTAAACTATCCGCGCGCGCGCGCGTGTGTGTGTGTGTGTGTGTGTGTGTGTGTGTGTGTGTGTGTGTGTGTGTGTGTGTGTGTGTGTGTGTGTGTGTGTGTGTGTGTGTGTGTGTGTGTGGTGTGTGTAAACATAAGATGCACGCATATATTGCAGTTTCGAGTTAAAGTTTCATGTTATAGTACTAATCCTATCTCTCTTATGCTCTCGCGACCGTGGCACACGCGATCACGAGTGTACATAGTATACACGTATCGGTGTGCATACCTCAAAAGCAGCAACGCTAAACAAGGCGTTTACCCTTTCTGATCGCGTCGCCTTTATCGTCGAATTTGCGTTTCCTTTCAACGTCAACGAGAGCATAGGAAGCATGTCAATGGATGCAATCGAATTTCGAAAATGAGGATCAAGGATCGTGACAGTTTAATCTGCCAATCCATAATAAATTGTAAAACAAGCTTCCAACCTAAGATTTCGTATTTTCTTGATAGTACTTACAATTAAATCTGATTATACATAAAAGAGCATTTGTTGATTGGCAATGCAATAGCAAATATGTATTTGTATATAGCACGCCCGAGCAAGCAACAATATTAGCAATTATTATTATTCTTTGTGATGTCATTTTTATGTCCAATATAAAACACATATTTTTAGATATACATTTCTTTTTTAAAAAAAAATTGAAGAGTTGTGTATATATGTTTTTAGATTTCCTATATTGAGTGGTGTTCATCATGCATTTTATAACGCGTTTTATGGAGACGCGTGGCCTGTTTTGCGCAGTTTGATCGTCATCACAACTCCATGCATCCTAAAAACGTTAACTCTTTGAACTTCATTTGTCATAGGATTGACGAAGCATGTAGCTTGCATCGGGCAGACAGAAGACACGTCATCCGCGCAAATTGTCTCTGTAAAACAAATTGCTTCTTTTTTCGCCTGTAGCGGTGGAGATAGGTGAAGAGACCGAGTGTGCGGGCATTGTCATCCGCAGCTAACAATGTGACAGCTTCTAAAAAGAAAGGCTCGTTCCTGTCTCGCGGATGCATTCTCCGTAGCTCGTTTTCTTTCGTTGAGGTAAAAAGATTATCGACAGTCATTAGTTTGAAAAAGATACGCGATTCATTAATTTAAATGCTACACTTGCTCTAAATCTAAAATTAATTGAGATTTTTCATCCAATCAGATTTCCTTTACAATAATTTACAAATTAATTAAAAGTTAATTTGATTTCTAAATTGAAATAGTTTATAGTTTATAGTTTAAATAGTTTTAAAGAAAGGCTGCAAAATTGTTATCTGCTGGTAAAATCTACTATATATTGTATATAATCTATAATATATTAAAGAAAAATTTTGATTCTTTTTATAAACAATTTGAAGATCTATTTTCCTACCTGAAACATTCGATCTACTTTTTCGCGTACACCCTCATGGTCCAAGTTAGGATCAGCAAATTTTCCCATCAGTTCGTATACGGCAGTCACAATGTCCGTCATCTCCTCTCTCGTGATACAACCGTCGCCGTTGATATCATAAAGAGAAAATGTCCAACGAAGTTTTTCGTCTATCGAGCCACGAGATAGTATGCTCAAACCCGTAACAAAATCCTGGAACATAAAAACTAGCATTGACTACAGCAGCGTCAATGTCTATCATAGAATATTTTGCGATATATACATGCGCTTATATGCACTTTTACGAAATATGTAGCTGACTAAACAGTATTACATCGTATCCGCCTATCACGTTATTATGTACTTTAATGTGATATGTACTTTACTTATTTTTAATTCTTTTCTTTTGCCTCCCCTCCCCCGCTCTCTTTCTCACCCTCTTCCTATCTTTTTTCTTTCTTTCTTAAACGAAGCAACGATATTTTCACGCGAGGATGATTAGAGTTGCATTTAATTGTGTAATAATTGAGTGAATACATTAATAGAATGAATTGGTAAATTTTAGTGCTTGCTAGTTGAATAACGGTGTGGCACCGAAGATTAGACTGAAACGAACAGACGCGAACACATACCAGACGAGATTTGTGGTCACGTCGGTTATGCAACTTGCAACACCTGCTACTAAGTTGTGTGAGATCGAAAGATGCGATTATTCCATGTATTTATCACGAAGTGTTATTATTTCTGCTAATATATGTCTCTCCTGTGCTTTTTCCTTCTAAAGCTGCCGAGTGGATAAATAAACATCAATAAAAATTATAAAATTAGAGAAATTATAAAATTTCTTTAAAACCATACGAAAGTTTTAAAAATCAAATAAATAAAATTATATTTCAATCAAATTTTTTTTCTAGTACAATATTAGAGTTTTTATCTAAACAAAATCATATTGCTGCTAATATATAGTTTTTTTCTAAATCTGTATAGTAAATTTGTACGAATGTAGAATTAGATAAGTGCACTTGATACTGAGCACATTCTTGCATTTACATTAACACCACGGTAACGCATTCATGCAAATTTTGTCATGCAAAAAGAGCGCTGCAATAAGAAAGATTGAACAACCGCTATTTCAGAGAAATAGGTCGCTCACACAAAAGCAATTTAGACACAGAAGGATGTTAAATTTAATCGTGCGGTAATTGGGCAAATAATGGGCGACAGCGTGTAACGCGTTGCCTCATAGGAGATAAACTATGCTATCAGTCAGCTAAGTTGCGACGTAGAAATCCCGCTTCGTATTAATATATACGAGAAGTCACGAGTATTATGCGAAATATAGATACACATCAGACGCGTAAGTAAAGCCATAAGTAATAGGTAGTGCTACGCCTATTCCTGATATAATTATTATGGAAATTTTGCTAGAATTTTGAATGTAGTAATTATAAGATACAATAGAACTAGCCTAGTTCTATTGTGCTACTTATAACACTAACTCGAATTCGTCATGGAATGAGAAATACATTAGCATATTGTCATATTCGTGTACATTTGGGAGTGGCTTTATATTATGTGGTAAGACATAATGGTTAACTTGATATTTACGCTTTTGTCTGTGAGAGATTAATTAAAACTCACGCGTTAGATTTTAATTATCTGCTAGAAATAGAACGGATAAAAAGCAGTAAAATCAAAGAATTAATTAGAAATTGAACGAAATAGAATATCTCTATATCACATTTAAGTGCTCTCTCTTGAATATATAATTTTAATTAATCTTACAATAAAGTTTGTGTGTAATTATACGAAATGATATTGTGAATTCCGCTCGCGATAATTTCTCAGAACTCTTCCGAATGGGCAATTTATGAAGGAAGTCATTTTACTAATTACATTTGGTAAGCTTTGAATCCAAAAAAAAGGAAAATAATATTTATAAGGAATGGTATATATTTGAAAAATAAGAAGATACTAAAATTGGAAATTTTATATATCGCTTATCTTTTGTGTGATGTAAAATTATTCTTAGATATACAATTCCAATAATAAATAAATTTTACTCATAAAATAAAAAAAATATTGAGAATAAAAAAATATATTTCTATAATAATGAATGTTATCATTAAATTGAAACAAGTAATAAGATAGATGTATTATTACAGACTTTAATAATTAATAATATCTCAGAGATTAAAAAGCGCCTTTGCTGAAGTTGTTAGCTTAGTAAATTGTATTAGACTGCCATGAAGAATAAAATAAAATCAGAGAGATGAGAGGACAAAATAATGAAGAATATTGAGTGATTAAAATTAACAAAGTATGAAGTTGAGGTCGAAATAAAATGAAAAATTTAGATAAAATGATATTTCTATAAATTCCTTAATATCTCTAAATTTTTCATTTTATTTCGACCTCAACTTTATTTCGAAATGATATTTCTGTAGGTGAATATAACAATAATAATAATATCACTAGATTTTTATACACATGTTATTAATATAATCAGTAAGATCAATCAATCAAGAATATAACCTAAAACAATATAAAAATTACATAATATAAAAAATATAAAAAACTGTAAAAATATATTCTTTCTTTCTTTAATTTTTTTATAAAATAATTATTATATGCTTAAAATAATGTTAAAATTTTTTTTATTGTATATTAAATATGATAAATTCTATTATTAATTGTATTATATAACAATATATTAATAATTTATTTACACATTTGAGAGTTACGGCTTAAATATTATGATAAAATTATTCTAATATATATTTAATGTTTTAATATACATTATAATAGTATATAATTCAAAATAAAACAAGCAAAATGATTTTACATCTAAGTTTAAATTTTTTTCATAATAAAATCTAAAATTTTGATATGTATATGTGTAAGAGAAGGGAAAAGAGAGATATTGTTATAAAAATATAATTAAGTGCGATATGCAAAAACTTCTATAATCAATACATTGAAATTAAAAAAATTTTTGTTAATAAATCTATCACTATCTCTATTTTTTTAACATAACAATTTGAACCTAAATTTTGGAATATATTGTATCATCTTGAGATAAAGCAAAAAAAATGATGTAGTATAAAGGGAGTAAGAAATCGCCAAATGTTGTATAAATTCTGCTAGAAGGTTTAAACCCTGACATACATCATATCCGACGTCACTTAATCTTACTTAAGTCAAAATCCTCGATTTCAGGCTATGTTTTATATGTTCGCACATTTATTGTAACGTCAAATTATTTATTCTTGAAAACTTTCTTAAGAAAAATTGTTTTGTTTGTTTATATTATTATATGTTATATTATGTGCTTCAATATTATAAATTTTTGCGTATTTTTTAATTGTAAAATTTTTATTATTATAAATCAACTATTACATATCACCGATTGATTCATTTGAATATAAAGATAATACATTTAATGATAGTTTATTACGGAGTATTATGATAATTGAAAATCAAAGTTTACAATTATATAAATGTATTTATACATGGTTAATCCAGTCCCAGTAAAACAATAAAACGCCCAAACGAACAAATATCGATTGTTGATCTAGGTCATGATTATATCAAGAGTCAAGAAATAACAGCAAAATTATATTCAATTATTCGAGGATTGTGAATAATAAACGAAATCAATGCATATTTAAAGCTTTTGTTGCAATTGCAATTCAAATACATGTTTATTTAAAAATGTAAATATGTTTTGAAGAATTTAAATTTTCAAAATTTTTAAGACTGGATTTTATTATTTGTCTTTAAGTTATATACTGCAATATTTAAAAAAATTAATAAAGAATTTAAAACAATATTATAGATAATCTAAAGTGTTACAATATTTAACATTAATCAACAATAAAATTGTTTAAATATATGTCTAACTTTTACATTATCATATGTATTTGCAAATGTTATTTTATTGAAAATGTGATTTAGAAAATAAAAGAGAATAATTACATTGAATTATTTGCTTAAAATTATGTGCTTGAAAGAAACAGTATATTGTTAAAATTTGTAATTTTAATTATGACATAACTCTCTTTTTTTCTCTTTCTGTTCTCTTATCTCATAAAGACAAGATAATGAATTTCATCATTTTATTATTGAATCATTAATTCATTAAACTATAATTATGCAATTTTAAAAGAATATATAAATTTTATCATGCGAAAATAAAGTTTGAAGTGAATAATGCTTAACTGAAAGATTTGTTCCCCTGTTTATAGATACTAAAAATCACATTTGCAGTATGTCAAAAAATGTAATTAATTAAAAAAAAAATATTGCAAAAATATCTATTTTACAATATCAGTAAAATTTGTTAAAATAAATTAATTTCTTCAAAATTTAATTCAATTTTAATTTTTTTAATTTTTAAAATTTTGATAAAAAATATAGATGCTAGTTTTTTGAGTATAATTTTACAATGCTTCATTACATCAGATATATTTAAACATATCGTTTGTTCATGTCATATGCTTGAATAAATTGATTTGCAAAATCATTTGCGGACTATCCTTTCGTATTCACTCACCACAAATGCTGCTTTCTATTATCGTGTAATTATACTGATTAATACATAATGAAATCTATTATTTCATAAGTTTTTCATATGATATTTTTCACAAATGTAATACAGAAACGTTTTATAACAGTTCTATTATGCTATTCAGTAAAGTTACTGAATTTTTGATCAAATTTTTAAATAATAATTATAAGAATAATCAATTATTTCTGTTTTATTTTATTCTTATGTTTTAATTTCCGAATTAATGAATTTAAATGGAAGTGTGTTTGACAGATATCCCAACATTTTACATGAAAATGCTTTTCAACTGCTTGGCACAGGTCCACATGTAATCAGAGAACAAATGATTTTAATTGCAAGTGTCACAACTATTTTAATCAATATCTGTGTTAAAGTGTTATTTAATTAAATCTTTTACTTATTATTAATCAGTTCTTACGTCAGTATTAATTAGTTTTTGAATTAAAAAAATTTAATGACAAAGAGCTTAATATTTAATTACAAGAATAAACATAACACTAAACTTTATATTGTATGGCAATTTTATGTTATAATGTCCTATAATAGAAACATTTATAAAAACATTTATAATATTTATAAAAACAGTTATAAAAACATTTAAATTAGTCAATAAAATTTATATTAAAATAAAATGAAAATTAATAATTCATTTTAATTTGATCTACAAATTTACATTACAGAATTGTAGATAGATAATAAAACAAACATATAATAAATAATAAAAACTGTCTTATTTACATAAATTTATCAAAATCTTTTAATAATTGTTATATTACATATGATAAAAACCTTCTAATCTCTTTATTTTAAATTATAGTTGCACTCATATCACTTGTTATGTGACATTATAATACACAAGATAATGATGAATAAAACATTACTCACTTATACGTGTCATGATCTTACTAATAATAGTACTCATTTTGCAAAATACGTGAATAAATTCGTAAAACTGAATAGCAATTAGCTTTTAAAATTCTATGCAGGTTACTTGATTAAAACGCCGCTATATCCGCAGGGAATGTTGCTACGTTAGAAAATAAAGGAGGATGAGGAAAGTCCATCACAGACTAAGTCATATTAAAAAAAGAGAGAGCTTTGTGAGAAATATCACAGTTAATTAAAAGTTCCGATGACGCTCGTATTCTCATCTGTTCCTCTTGAAACAGATTTACTCACAGCGTACGCATTTTTTCACGACACAGATGCTAACAGTGGAACGCTTCTTTTTTACTATGTTGTATGTTACAGTCAGACAATTTTCGTTGTCGCTGCAGTTTATGCTTTCGATTTTTATCATGTTGGTCGTACAAACGATTGAAATATATGTATTGACAAAAACTAAAAAACTTCCATCAATTGTTCCCTGAGATAGAAAATTTTATAGCGGGCAGTTATACTTGTTCAACGTAAAATATTTGTGATCATAGGAATCTATATTTTATTCGTTTTGATTTATAACTTTATTTAATTTATTATATATTATATTATATTTAAATTTTATTAAATTTGTACTTTGAAAAATATTGCATTAATTCATGTAAGTCTAGAATAAAATATATGTAATTGATTATAATTATTAAGTAACCGTCTTATATAAAAATAGATGGATTTTATTTAATATGCGTTCATGTTTCATAATAACAATTTTGCTGATAAAAATACACCTGCATTTTTTAATGTGAAATAAAATCTTATGGTTGGATTTTTCGTCAGCGTTCAAAAAGAGTGATAAGTGGACAGAGAGAAAGAATAAGGGAAAGCCGAAGAAACCTCAAAAATGGAGGAGGTCCTGTTTCCCACACGTCGAGAGCGAATGCACTCTAGTAAAGTATTATCTCGAGAAAAGAGGAATAGTAATCCTTCTTTCACGCGTTTACAGACCTTAGAGTGTGAACATATAATGCAATTCAAGTCGTAATAGAAGCTTTTATATGTCAACAATACAAATAAAATTCAAAAACTTGAAAAGTAAGGTGTATGTGTGTGTATATATATATATATATTATAAAATATAAAAATTTTTATATTATAAAAAAGAAATAACAAAACTAATATTTCTCGAATTATAAAAATGTAAATGTAATTTAAATTAGCAGATGCAGTTTCGTATTTGTTACTTATCTAAAACGAAAATTTTAGAAAATAATATTTCTTTAGTCTTTCGTATAAAATTTGCTTCTGAATTTATGATTCCACTGTTGACGTGAAAATTAGATCGAGATCAAAGCACATGATAACGACTTGTGTGCAGTTTGTAAATATATTTGTGCTAACTTTTCATCGTTAGTCTCCTGACACTGATGAAAACTATACTGAAAGTTTGTCGCATATCGCTCAATGGGGAACACGTTCATCAACAGAGATTCCAATGGGATAACTTAATTAAGCGGCTGAATATCAAAGGTTAATGTGGGAATCTTATTACGTGTAAGAGAAAAGGAAAAGGTTTATATTAAATCTAATAATTTTCTGCGGAAATAGAGGCACAGTTTCAGTTACACAATACACAATTCTATTTCAATAACTTGGAAAACAAATGCATTATCTAGTAATTATTTCTCTCTCTCCCTCTTCCTTTTCTACGAATATTTCTATCTCTCTACCTCTTTCTTAGCTTATTATTTTTCAAAAATTTTCTTCAATAAATTCACTGTACTCATCGGCAAATTGATTTTAGCACTTGAAATCGATTAATGGCGAATGATTAAACTGCCACTTCGTCAACTCAATTAAATACGTGATGCTGGATGCTCATGTTACATCTCATGTTACATCTAATTAACTTCGTCTGCGATGAATATTTACTTAAAATATGACGTGTATTAAAGTTTTAGTTATGTATATATTTAGCTATTGTAAATATCTATATTTATACATTTATTAATTAAAGAGATTAATTATATTACTAATAATTTCTAGTCGTTATATTACATAGTGCGTTAATTACTTTTGTAGTCATAAATGAGATATAATTAAATCATATTGTGCAATTCAATTATTTTTTATAAATAAAATAGATAATATGATTCCGACTGCAAAGTATTGAATAAAATATCTTTTCTTTTCTACATTTTTAAATATTATTTATTTTTTAAATATTATAAATATGTCTGAAAAATATAAAAATCATAATCTAAATATTAATAATAAAATCTTTTTTTAAGAGGTCAGTTTTACTATCAGTTTTCGAGATAGGAAAAGACTAAGATGTTTATATAATAAATATTTCTAACTAATCATATAATTTTTGGGAAGGACTATAAATGCCTAAGACAATTAATAATATTCTGCAGTTTTCATAGCGTGTTTTTTAAAAGAGATATATTGTGATATACATCTTGCTTCATAAACTATAATATTAATTTGCATTACATTGACCTGCAGAGTTAAATATAGAGTGTGAGATTGATAGCGATTTTATGCATGCTAACAACTTTCAAAGTAATATGCAAAACGGTCTCAGAGAACAAAGGAAAAGGCAAGTTATGCAGAAAAAAAGATCAACTATCACTTTGCGTTGCAAAGCTATGAGATACATATAGTCATATAATGTGCAGCATAACGATATATGATTATCTTATTAAATTTCATTAGTAAATGATTAAATTTGATAAATACAATGCATAGACTCACCTCGAAACTGAGAAGCCCGCTGTGATCCTGATCCAAAGTATTAAAAACGTAATGCGCGTACTGGCTTGTATTGGCTACAAAAAAAAACAAGTATTTAAGTTATTTCTATATCTATGTTTACATATTTTATTATGTATTTATTTGTTTTATTTTTGTCAAAATGACAATTATGTGAAAAAAAATCATTATAATCTATTAATAATTAAGTTTACGTATGTAATATAATAATAACAATAATCAAATTTATATGCAAACACAAACAGGTATAATATTTGAAAAGTCTCTATATTAATGCAGTCATTGTATGATAATATACACACTGTGATAATGTATATTATTGACACACGAAGTGTTAATTCCATATAAACAATTACTTGTGTGCAATTATTACTAGAAATAATTGACAAGGAAATGTACAGAAATGTCTTTTTCCGATTTTGATAAACTTTTAATATTTAAAATAAGAAACATGTATTTTTATATATATGTTCATACGCATAGACGGGTAATATGGTCTAGAATATAACATATTAAATCTCATCAAAATCGAAGAGGCATCAAATCTTTCAAATGTTTCCTTGTAAATTCTCTTACAATAAGCTGTTACAATAAGCTATAAATTATAAAATATATAAAGATAGTTTCAAATTAAACATTGAAATAATTTAATGGAATTTGATTTAAGAAAACGGATTTGAAAATAACTAACTTCTCATAAAAATAGACTTGTCATCAGAAATACGAACAAGAAATATTTTAATTTTATCATTAATTTGATTTTATTAAAATTAGCATACTTGCAGATATTAATATTGCTAGAAAACAGAAACCGCTGATATAAAAGCGTTTCAATCTATATCCAATAGATATGTATATATATTCCAATAGATGTGCAATGGATTTATACGAAAATCTAGGGAAACCGTCGAATCTATAGATGGCTCGTAAACTGAATATCCATCGGTGTGTGTTAATAACTTCCAGTCGAAATAACGCGAATACTTCAAATTTAAAACAGAGATTTATATGGGTCAGAAATTATCATACCATATATATCTATGCTATGCACCTCTTTTTCTATTCCAGATAAGATTTATCATATAATAAAAATTATATATAATAATATTATATATAATAATTTTGAAATGAAAGAATTAAGCAAAAAATATTATTTTTTAAAACATTAATCTTATCCATATTGATTTAAATACATATATGAACATATATGCAGCAGTTAAAAAAAATAATTCTTAATTATGGATTTAAAAATCTATATTTCTTAATTGTTACCACCAAAAACTTGTAATTTAAAGAATAGCTATCAAGAAACGTTTTATAATATATAAGGGGATGCCGAAATAATTCTACGCACTCGTAATAAGCAACAAAACTTTATTCATACAATATGGAACTCTAACGCGCTCGATGGCTGGACTGGAACTGAACTCGTCCGTGCCGATCTTTTCATTCCGGTAACCGTCGACGAAATCGATTGCTAGCTAACAAAAATCGGTAAATCAAAAGATTCTGGTGTCAGCGACGGCTCGCAATAACAACGAAAACGAAAAGTTAAATAAAAGCTGCCACCAGCAGAAATCTCCAAAGCGGCGTCGGCTCGCGAGTATCGGAGACCAAAAAAAGAAAGCGACAGCATCGATCTGCTACTTACTAAAATATATTTCAGAATAGCAATGGTAAATGCCCAATTTTAATTTCTTCATTTGAGAGAACTTTGGTTTCTGACTTTACATCAAAAGGGTTCATTTGAAAATTTGTAGTTGTTCCCATTATATTTCAGACGTATTACAACTACGTCATCAAGAGCTTATCGCGAAAGACCTGAACATAAAGTGTATTAACTTGTCTAAGTTTGATAACATTTCTGAACTACGTGCTCATGAAAGACGTATTCACTCGTAACGAAATTCGAAAATCAATTTTCTTCTCTTGAAAGTGTTTGCAATTTATAACTCTTCTAAAATGTATTGAAGGTAAGTATGTATACTTTGACATGTGTACAAAACATCTGATACATCGTATAAGTTCGTTATATAAAAATTTGTATTCTGTATTTGATTGCTGTACAATATAATTATGCTTCTCTCAAAAAATATTTAAATAACACCGTTTGTATTTTCTTCTAATTTATTTTTCAATTTTTTTGTAATATAAACAATTATAGTTTAATAAGCAATGTTATAAACTGAATTGTTAATTAAATATATTTCATTCATATAACAAAAACATTATAATTAAATATAATTAAACTTTGCATATATCTTTTTAAGGTATATGGAAACTAGGATTTTCTGTTACATGCCACGCTGTTAAGGAAGATAAACCATAGTTGTAATCCGCGCACACAATCACTATTGGAATGTCCTCGGAGAATTGCAAAGTTGCAATCTGCAGGTGAAGGGTCATGTATTTCACACCTTGAGTCATATATACATATATATATATGTGTATGTGTGTGTGTG